GGATGTGTCAGCCATTGTCTTTTGACTACACTTTCATTTGAAAGGGATTTCAGAGGCTGTGATCTTAATTAAATCTCAACTGACTCGAATAATGCATCTGAAAACACGCAGCGTTGCGTAACCGTGTAAAGCTGGTGAACTAAAGATCACGGGCGCACAGTTTATATGAACAGCGGTCGTAAGATGTTTCCGGGAAAGGTGCAAACATCGAACAGTTGTGTGTAGGACATCACTCACCGAGAATTTGGTTTGCTTGGTTTCAGAACTCAAAATACCTTGTAAAATACATACTTGGAGGTGTGGCTTGAAAAGGTCAGAAAGAATGACAGGACAGTGAGTCACACACCAAAATGTATGATACACTCCTTTCTTTTAATTTTTTTGTAAGCAAAAGAAACAAAGAATTGTATCAGAATAATTTGAACCACCTTTAATATAATATTTTAACACAATTTTCATTTTTTTTATAAAATCCAAATCAAATCTTCTTCTTTTTTTTTAATACAAAAGTGAACATTTTAAATACCAAAGTGTGATCGTGATGCGGCACAAGTGTGTGCGTTTGAGGGGGAAGAGGGAGGGCGACCTATGTGCGCTCCCTCAGCGGTGGTCACCTGCAGTGGCGGCTCCCTCCAGTGTGGGAAACGGCGTCCAGGTCGCAGCTCGGCTGTTATTGCTGGGGCGAGAGCTTGCTCACGTTGCCGTGCAGTTTGTTTGTTTAAACCCAATGCTGGGTCGAGCTCCGGCGAAAACCTGTTTGTTTGTAGTCGTCGAGTTAATTAAAACGCAATCTTAACTTTTGTTTTTACAGTTGTTGCAAATAATTTGAGTCTCACTCCCCCTCACACATCTCCGCCCCGAACTCAGAAGATATAGTGCATAAATGTGGCTGTGATTATCCTGTTTATCTGAGCTGTAAATATTTTTAAAACAGCTTGATTGTGGATGACAAGAAAGGAATTATGGTGGTCTAACATATGTTGGGATTATTTAGTACTTGTGTCCTACTTTTTACATTTAAATTCTGCTGCATAATTCACATTGTGTTGTTTTCCCAATAATGACAACCACAAACAAAATATAAATCAAGATATTATGATTATTACTATCATTATTATTATTATTATTATTATTATTATTATTATTATTATTATTATTATTATTATTACAATAATCATTATTATTATTGTTGTTGTTACAATTATTATTAGGGGGAAAGGTTATTGGTGTGAATCTATTTTTTAGGGGAAATTCTCTCCACTCCAAAGATTTCAATCAACCTGAATGGGTAATGTGGAATTAGTCTTTCCAGTCTTGTCGACGACTAATTATGTTCACACATCACTTAAGTACAATAGCTCCCGTGAAATCCTCATTTCGGCGACATTTTCATGCAGGAGATCATAGTCGGGATGGGAAGTCGTTTCCTTGCGCCACAGCAGGCCAAGGTAAAACAACAGCATCAAACGGACTGGGGCTGGTATTTCTTTTTTACTTCTCCATTCCATTTGATGCCCCCACAAAACAACACAACCCCAGGGAATACAAATGAAAATTTGATAATTCTCTCTGCTTTTCTTTCTCCCCCTTTTTTCCTGCGTCTTCGTATCTTTCAGTGAAACGTCTTTGTCGGGCTCACTGACATTCACCTCCTCGTCCCTCATTGCTGCTCCTCTTAATTGCCTTAGTGTGAAAAAAGGCGCTATCGTGCAGCCTCATTCACCTTACTCCTCTTCGCCGTGCTTTGACCTCTGACTTGTGATAGGAGGGGGATCTTCATTAACTCTGAATCAGTGACTCTAAAATGTTTTCAGATCTGGGGTGTGTTCCCTCATTAGATTATCGCATTTTGCACTCTTCTCTTGTTAGTTTCTCACAGACAGACGTTGTCCCACCGTAGGTGTCCCTTTATGACAAATGTTTCCTGTACTGTGTGCTGGCGCTTTTTCAGAAGTGGTGCAGTAAACAAGAGGAATATTTTAATAATTTTTTTGTTTTTTCAAATTGAGGAAAACACTTTTTTTTAAAAATAATTTGATCATGTTAAGTATTAACATTTAAATTCCTTTTTAAATGTTTTTTTATAGAATGACATTTTTATACTCAATGTGCCGTGCATGTTTCTTTTTGTGCCTGTGGAAAATGTGGTTTTGCTCTTCATATACAATGTATTATGGGCTGCACGTGTGCCTGTATGTACTTGTGGCAGTTAACATGCCACAGTTCTGTGCATGGGTGTGTTTGTCTGCATCTGTGTGTTTGGCCAGCAGGCCTGTGCTGGTACAGTATATTGCCTCCAGTCACTCTGCAGCTGTGTGAGAATGTTCCAGGTTTGAATGTTTATGTATGGGAGGCACCTGGAGAGCACCACACCTTCATGAAATTCATAAACGTCAGCTATTTCTGGCATCCTCAGAATGTCCTCTTTTTCACACTCTCATATTGGTGGAGTAGATTAGAGCTGGGCTCAGTGGATCCCTCCAGTTATTAGCCCAGTACGGGTCTCCTTTTAGACTATCTTTAGATGGTGATATATTTTTGTGGATCATTTGGAGTCATGATGTTATCCAAGAGATAAGGGAGTGCACCATATGGGAGTGCTCTAAATGGCGACTGGCGTCCTGTGTTTGCGTTAAATGGGCACGATACAGCGGCCAAGGCAATATTTTTCAGTTAAAGTGCTCCTCCCGCCCTTCCACTCAATAGGACCCAGTCTTAGGCAGATTTTCACTCCTTCAGCACAGGATTAAATGGTAGTAGTTACATTGATCAATAGGTTAAGAAGCATACAATCCCTCTTGCTGCTAATGACCTCAGTAGTAATGGGTAATAAAATGGGGGTCTGTAATAGCCTCTTGCTGGGGCTGTTCACGGAGGAGGCTGCTCTAACTGTAGTTACTGAGAGCCAGATGCTCTTGACAAGGCGAAGTGTGAAACCGTGATGAGATACACACCTCAGGTGTAAAGAATTAAGACAGTTACACTGAAGGAAATCTCTGTGTAATTTGTAATGAAATCGACAGTTATTGAGATCTGGTTAAGTGTATAAAACCTCTGTGTTAACTCGAAGTTTGCTCTCCCCTTTTCCACATCACACTGTGTAATATGGCATGACAAAATGATTATACATTTGAAACGAAGACAAAATTTGCAGCCTTTACACGCTGGTAAAAAATAGAGCGTGACTAATATGGAGTAGATTTTTTACGCATGTAGTAAAAGTGAAGTTTGTGGAGAAAAAAAGGGGGGCATTTTTATTTATCCTCTTTTGGGGGGGGTAAATGCCACATTTCGACGTGCACTGCATATCACATCATGTACGGGTTTGCATGTCAGCAAGACCAGGCTGCTTGGTTGACCTTCAGAATAGTTCATCAAAATTAGTGATGCCCAGAAAAAAGGACTTCGCTGGATAATGACTGTGAAATTAGGAAATGGGAGGCCGAGGCTATGCAAATGACAGGACAAGTCATGTGCAAAAGTCAAGATGAACTGCATATTAAGACATAATACAGGGGGGAATTAATATTGCATTTTCCTCCTCACACCCCTTGCGCCTCCTGCTGAAAATAAGAAATGTGAAGTGTGTGTTGGTCCTGGGTGGGGCTGACCCTCCTTCATTCTCTTGGGTTTGGAAGAACATATCCCAGTGTAGTCTGGCACGGCTCAATAAAGTTAACAGAGAGCATCAAAGCTGCTCCGTTCTGTTTGACATCACTGCCCTTTCCTCTGCATTTTCACTACAAGCTGTTCATTATGGCAGTGCTTTGTTTTTGTTTTATGCTACAATGGGGAGAGTGAATAAGGTGATATGGATGCAGGGCGTGTGTCAAGAAAAGCCCCTTCGTTACCGGACGAGATTTTAAACAGCTAAATTGCATTCAGAAAAGCATGAAAAATTCAGAGGGGTGTCATTAGCTTTAAGGTGACCACACAATTTGGGTAACCTTGGTGAAGACAGTCTGTCACCGGTTATGTCTGCTCTATCGGCTGCTGACATCAGCCTGAAAGAGTACATTTTAATACTCGCTTATGCACACACAGATACTAATGTATTCGTGCACAAAAAGAGCCACAGCCGCAACATGTTAACAACTGCAAAGACGCCGCAGTATACAAGCATATCTCCATCGCTGTTTGTCATCCAAACGTCAGGGAAAGGAGCTTTTAATGGTATTGCACATCATAGCAGTGAGTGGCAGCATCCAGACACACTCCAAGTCCCCTATGTCGCTGGAGCAATTAAGGCACCCTGACAACTGTGGGGGCTCTTTCGGTGTCACAACAAATCACTTGTTTTGAGGAGTCATGCACTCACACCTTTCTGCAGGGAGTTAGTTAGGGGCCCGTGTGTTCTTCACCATGGCTCCTCCTCCAGGCGCTCTATATCTTCACAATAATAGATCGCTGTTGACAGCATCTCTAATGAAATGTTCTCACATGACATGTCGTGCATGCGCGACAAGCGAACCACAGCATTTTTGGAGGCAATCTTTCACGTCTTCAGGTATGACACATTTGCCGCGTCGTGCAAACGGCGATGCTTATTGGGGCTTCGCCGTTTGTAAATGCAGATCATATCGGGTTTTGTGGAGGGGTATGTGCGAGAGAGGGGTAGATGGAAGGATGGAAGTCGGGGTGGACGTGTTGACCCACGCCTGGCTCTCTTGTGTCCTTTAGCCTGTCTCAGTCTGGTTTGGTGTCATAATGGTTAGAGGGGCGAAATGTGTGTGTTAGATGTTTGCTGGAGGTCATGTACAGATTGCAACACTTCAAGATGACACTTGAGAGGAATTCCTAGAATGCATCAAAGCCTCTTGTAGTCTATTATGTTTGTCTAATGTGTGTCTTTATTTTTTGTTGAGCTACATTTTTTTACCCTACCTTGCTTGTAGGCTGTAGCACACATGTGACAGTAAACAAGAAGGAGCCAGTGTTGAGGATGGATTGCTTTTTGCTTCCTGCACTAATTAACAACTATCTGCTTGTTGTGTGTGCAGGTTCCAGTGTCAGTGGCTATGATGACACCTCAAGTGATAACTCCACAGCAAATGCAGCAGATTCTTCAGCAACAAGTCCTGAGCCCTCAGCAGCTCCAGGTTCTTCTCCAGCAGCAACAGGCCCTCATGTTACAACAGGTAACGTACATTCATGCTACCAGTAATCTTCTTCAGACGGGGCCATCAAGTTTCAGATGGTGAATGTCTCAGCTTGAAATTAAAATCTTCTTATGTATAGACCATGTTTCACAAAGATAAATTCACTTTGAACTGCTATTCTCCTTTCTTTTCTAAGCCTCAAAGACAGCATCCCTCAAAGTGTTGAAAATTCTCACAAAATCCACTGCCAGGTTTGCATGACTGATAGACTTTGCTTCACATGTCACCCTCCCGTCTCTTCTGCAGCAGCAACTCCAAGAATTCTACAAGAAGCAGCAGGAACAACTCCACCTCCAGCTCCTCCAGCAGCAGCAGCAACAGCAGCAACATGCAGGCAGCAAGCAGAGTAAAGAGGTAAGCTGACATCACTCCAGCCGCCTGCCATTACCAAACATTGGCCAGACAGAGTACGGAAGGCATGCGTGCTCCCTCCCTCAACTCCATCTGCTTTCAGCCTGTGGTTAAAGCAGAGACGGGGGGAGAATCAAGTGCACTCATGCTTCTGATTAGCATGTCAGACTGGCTGGATAAATGGTAACAACTGACTTATACTGTGCTAAGAATCCAGTGTCTCTTTTTTGGACCTGTCTCCACATTAAATGTATAATATGTTACAGAAAAGACTCAGGCCATTGTTGTAGTTTTTTTTCTAGTAAACAAGTGTCCTAAGCAACAAAGAGATGACCGTTCCTCTGAGCCTTGTGTAGGACATAATGAAAGGCAGAAGGGAGAAAGGCAGAAACACAGAGCATATAAATCTGAGAGGCTTTTCTCGGTAATTAACATGGAAATGGCAGAGGAAAAGAAGGCATGTAATTGTGAGATATCAGTGCAGAGAGCGCTTCCAGCTTTGTTGCCCATGTTGAGTTTTTTTTCACCATTTTTCTTTCTTGCTTTCTCTCCTTCGCTCCCCGTAGTGCAGCGAGGCTTGCTCATAGGCAGCGGCTTAATGCGTGTTAATGACAGGCGGATACAGGCATCACTGTGGACGAAGCAAATTATTATTGTGCGGTCAGAAGAAGTTCAAAGACGATCTGGGAATTTTCACTCTTGTCCCCGTTGAGTTCCAATGTTTGGAGAGTAAAGGAAACACAGAAAATTAAGCCCGGCGTTAAAAGCGGACCCACGCTCATCCACGCATGCTCACTCCCGCACACGTCCGCGTGCTGTCGAAGCACCCAACTTCAAAGTCGTAGCTCCCTAATTAATGAACTGCGGGCTTCAGTTTGGACAAGTTGTGGCGTGATGCTCCCATAAATCAACATGACAGCAGAGCTCCTCGGCCTCAGATAGGGCCTGTCACCAAGTCGCATCTGATGTAAACACTAGAGGAGCAAGGGAGAAAAAGAGGGGGAGGCGAGGGGGGCAGACAAGGAGGTGCAATTGATCAGTTGAATGGAGCATGAGAATAAAAGAAAAAACTACTTTTGAAGCATATTATGTATGATCACAGGAAATGGATGCAGCCTCGAGAGGCTCTCCCCTTCTGCCGATGTTTTCTTTCTCTTCCCCATCGCGCTCGCTCTCTCTCTCTCTTTCAGTCGCATTTCTAGCAGCCATCAAAAGACAGAATAAGAATTATGCAGTGAATCCCCTGTGGCTGCCAGACAATAACCCCCTGTTGTTGCTTTGTGCCTCTTTTATTTTAAAGACATCAAAATTTAGTTTTTCAAAGATCTTTAACTTTATATTTGAAGCTTGACAATAAAGGGCTGCCAGTGCCACTCTTTATCATTTGTCAGGGACTGTATTTTTCTCTCCCTCGTGCCACTTCTTGTTAACCTCTTATTTGGTCTATTGGGTCTGGGGGTTTTTAATGTGTCTGCATGCTGAGAGTGCACAGGAGCCGCTGTCAGCTGATGGGACTAGAGGAAAAATATGAAGGGGAGAGAGTTAAATTCATTTGCAGCACTCCATTTTCTTTCTTCCTTTTTTTTTTCCTCAAAAGCCACCCCTCTATTTATTTAGCCTATTTACTTAGCGTTTTGATGAAAGACATTGTTCCTTCTAAACCCCCCTCCCCCTCCCATAGCACTATTATCTTTATCTGTCAGGGAGGAGCTGCTGAACAGAGAAAAACTCAAGACAAGAGAAACTTCTCTCACACTGATGAAAGGAGAGAAAGAGCCAACCATCGTTCATAAACAGAACACATCAGAGAGGATCACAGGCCACCTGCATCCTGAATGTGATCTTTATCGCGTTGCTCTTTTTTTCTCTGTCTCACTTTCTTCCCTCACATTTTGGGTTAGATCACACATGAGCCTGAGACTGAATGTAGTTACTCTTCAATTATGACCCTCCGTTACCACTGACAAAGTGCCTTCTTCCTCTGATTGATCCAATGAGACGACACCGCTCGCTGTAATGGGCCAGCGCTGCCCAGAGCGTTATTTTTAGTCAGCCAGTGCAGAAGCAGCAGGCTGGGTGCAGGGCAGGAGGGAGGTAGAGGAAGAGAAAGGAAGGCCGCTCGACCCTTTTGACAAGCCCGGCAGGGGTGGGCGGAGGGGACCCGTTTTATCTGGCTGTTTCAGTGGTTTCAGAGCCGCCAGCCAGTGACCTGACTGCCGCATTGCACTGAGACCTTTTTTGTATGCACTCAATTGTGAGAAGTAAACAAAGTGGTGTATCCTGTGTTTGGTAAAAGGGTGCGGTGCACGGCTTGGCAGGCACGGCGCTGCTTTTAGTGCCCCTACCTCTCCTTCCACCCGCTTGACAAACTGGTCTTGTATACTCATAAACAGACCTAGTGTCCTGTTGGGTCTCAGACGTGTTTGTTATGTCCTTAACTGTTAGAAAATACAGAAGGTGTACAGCTAGGTCCTGTTTAATCAGCAACAACACTTTGTTGAGCTGACTGTGGATTATTAAGAACGTCGGTTGATGAACGGGTTAAAAGTCATCTCTCTCCTCTGTGTCCCTGTTATCTAAATTCCATCTCTCATTTGTTTTGACTCATGGCGGATTGGGGATATTAGCAAATTTCCTTCTATTTATTATTCTGACTTTGTCTTTTTCCTTTCCATTTTCTTCTGTGCCCTTATTTCACTTTTTCATCCCATCAAAGTTCACGTTTCACTTTTCAGAGCCAGATTTTTTTTTCATCTCCCTGACTTTAAAATCAAGTGAAGACGCGCGACTGTTTCATTAACTGTTTCTTCACGAAGCGGTCTTAACACAGTAAGACGAACAAAACAGCTATCACATAGACCGTCCACAGCATGCGATTGAACGCAGCTTGCCGTGCTGGTTGGGGGAAGACTGAATCCCTGAGCTCAGCGCCATGCCTGGGAGAGTTGTGAGAGTTGCTAGGGTGGTTATTAAGCACTTTGATTTAGTCACACGTTGTTTGCTGAATTATGAATGGCTGTAATTAAATTCCTGTGGCTCTTATTATGAATGATTAACTATGTTGTTTCATTGTTTGTCATTTGCCTTGCGACTCCTCGTTAATTAAGAGAGAGAGAGATGTATAGCGTACCTGTCTTAAGTGGGCTCTGACAAAACCAAACTAAAGGCAAAAAATAAAAAAAGGAAAATTAGGCTTCGTGGTAGCACGCGTTAAATCCATTAACTTTGTTTTTTATGAATGAACATGTTGTTCTAAAGTGCTTCATTTTACAACCCTAACTGTGAACTCTGTCACCTTGATGTTAAAATGGTTTTTTTTAAATGGTGTATGCAAAGGAACCTGAAATTCAAATGTACGTGTTTGCACTGGCTGTTGTGCTTTTACATACGGTTTGTATGTGTTTGCTGATGGTGTGCCTCTTTGTGTCTCTGTGTGCCTCCAGCAGCAGGTGTCAGCACAGCAGTTGGCTTTCCAGCAGCAGCTCCTGCAGGTCCAGCAGGTCCAGCAGCAGCACCTGCTCAACCTTCAGAGGCAAGGACTGCTCAGCATCCAGCCTGGACAGACTGGCCTGCCACTGCACTCCCTCACTCAGGGTTAGTACCTCATATGTGACTGCAGCACAGCAATCTTCCTGTCCACCAGCTTTAACATTTTATCCACAATGAAGCAGTGATGATGACCTATCATGTGGCTGTATGTAAAGCACAGCAACTGAAGAACACTCGAATCACTATAAAAACACATATTTTAAAAGCCTTTAATTTGGGGGCTAGGTTTAGGTGGAATAAAATGTAGATTTTTCCATACTGAAATAGTCCTATTAATATAAATGCTTCACTGTAAAAATAGATATTTTCTTCCTGTGGATCAGCTATGTCACTCCAACAACAAAGATATATGTCTGGAGTTTAAGTTTGATCTTGCACGTCTTTCTTCAGGGTCTCTAAACAGGACTATCCTGTCTCTGCACCTTTTGTATTGCTCAACCAGTTTCACTATAACCTTGTTTATGTTATTGTTACAGGAAGCGTTCTATTGTCTTAGATAGTGAGAGTTGGGAATGAAACCGATGCCTATTATTTTGTATTTGATATTCTTACCTACTTGCTTGGTCTTGTCATGTCTGAGCTGCTTAGTTATGTGTTGTACTTGAAAAATTACACAAATAAACTCTTTAAAAAACACTTAACAACACCAGCTGAACACAAACACACGGAATAGTCGTAGAGCTCGACCAAGAATGTAACACTAGAAGTATCTAACCACATACTGACTCGACGTCCGCTGTATATCTTCAGCGATCGCTTCTCCCCTTTACTAAATGGGATCTAACTCCTTTACGCCAAAACATGTTTGCTGCACGATTTCAGTTTGGAACACTGAACTAACTCAAGTAACACATCCCACTGCTCAGAAGCAGAGATCCACACTTTGTCCTTCAGCTCATTGTCCTGTTCCTGTGATTGGCATTCTGGTGTCAGTCTCCTTTAGCCTGGAGGAAGACTGGATCTATTGTTCAGAAACCGCCAGTGAACTTGTCACTGTAAAAGCACCTGTAACCTGATAGGAAGTCAATACTTGCTGTTTGGCCAGGAAGTTTATTTCTTCATTTATTCCTTAATGTTATGTTAAGGAGCGGTCCCCCTGTGACAAAGACGCCATCATAAGGGTTTTAGAACATGACATTGACTATTCATTCACAGCTAAGACAAACAGTTTTGAAATAATAAGATAAAAATGGGAGGGGATGGGAGAGTGCTTAGGTAATAGGCAAACACAAACATGGTTTGTACAGTGCTGTTATTGTTTGGACTGGGTATGGAATAACTCATCCGCTCATAGACGATCGCCGTGGGCACAGGCGTGGAGCACTGCTGTGTTCTGTGTTGCGCTTTGCTGAATTGCTCTGTGTCAGATGTCTGGCAAACACTCACACACCCCTTGAGTAAAGCATTGTGTGAGTGATATGGCTAGGCACTGAACTTTTGATAGATTTCACAACAGGCTCAGAACATCCTGTTTATTTTGTGTCATCATCACATACCTCTGAGGCATCTCATCTTATCAGAGAGCGGGGGCACTAAGTTTATCTCCTTCATATGCTACCTTTTCAGTTTTCGCTTATGCTTTGTTGGGGCTACATGGTACTGAAATAGTGATTTCAGTCGCGTGTCACTGTGTCACAGACGCCATATAAAATTACAGAATATATGTTCTAAGAGAAAATCTGACTTTTAACTCCGTGCAAGTATATTTTCATGCCGAACGGCAGATTAAAATAAGTTACACTCGTAGTTAAAGGGAACATTTAACTAAGCTATTGTTCGCATAAACATCGAAATAAGGAACTGAATCTTCCCACATACAATTAGCGGTCTGTTTCACTTTTGTTGCAACCAGTCAAACCTGGTTAGTTTGCCCTCGTGGTTAACTCTGTGTCTGCGACAGCTGTTACAACACTTAGGCTAGTGCTCCAGGCCCCCAGTTTGTCTTCTTATTCTACACATTTTCTGCTTGACTGTTTGAAGTTATTGATGACCTTTCTGTTTTCCACATCACTAAACTCTTTCACGCATCAGCGGGCCAGGCCTATGGTACTCAGATCTAATCTGCAATATTCAGCTAGCACTGCATCGGAAGCAGTGAGTTGATCTTCTCTGTTTGGGTCCCAGTGATTATGGATTCAAACTTGGGGGCAGTAAATTGCGGTGACTTTCTAACTGATGATTTTTATTTCTTTCATTTAAACATGAAGATATCGATATAATTATTTTAAAATCCCATTATTATAGCAGACGGTCCTCTGTCTCCATTTTTCATGCACAGAGAGAGAATGAAAACGCTAAAGGTTAGCAAATAATAGGCCACTGAAACAGAATAATTAAAGAAAGTGTTCTTTTGGGTACTGCAGTGCAGTTTAAACCTCAGTCATATATCACTCTTCTGTCTGGTACAGTACATTGTTGGCTGAGACAGATTACAGTCATTGTTCTGGACTGAAGGAATGCATCTGAATTAGCTTTTCAAAAAATTGATAGCACTAATTAAGTATAAACTTGTAGATAGCACTTTTGAGTGAAAAACAATTTCTCACATTATCTTGAGCGTAATTTGTTTCTCTTGTCGTAAATTCTTTTGACATTAATGTCCAAAGTCTTGGAAGCGGCCAGGCGCTATCTGTTATAAATTACAAAAATGTGTTTGGGGAGGATATAACTCTCATAAATATAAATTTGATCCAACCAACACCCCCACCTGCCTCACAAAAAGCCTGTCCTCTTGACCTGATAAGTGAGTCAGTGGTTGCTCAGGCTCGCGTTGCTAAGGTGTTTGCATGTTTTTTGCACATGTGGCTGTGTGTGTGTGTGTCACAAAGGTGGCCGGTGTTTGTGTACATCCCGAATAAAATGGACCTTCACCCTGTGAGGTTGCTCTGCGAGAGAGCGAGTTCCTCTAGCTGCACAACATCATTTAAGCTGTCTAAGAGAGGCCAGTGGGACAGTGACAAGACAAATTTGTCGGTAATATGAAAGCAAAGAATGTGGCGAGCCATGAAGTGCTCACAGAACAGCAGCACATCAGGGACAGCGGCGGGTAATGCGGCCGACCTGTCAGTGATTGATACATCCAGCAGTGGGCTACTGGTAATAGTTCCAGCAGCATTAGGACAGGACATATTTCAGGCCAAAGGGGTGCATATCAGCAGGCCGGTGATTACGGCAACATAAACAGGGGTGCAGTAAAGGTCCCAGTCTGACGGAACAATAAACTAATAGCGATGTCACTGTCCCCCCATGGCACCGGCACTGTGTGAGAAGTAGCAGCACGGTTTAAAGAGCTCGGAGCACTAGGGGCCATTTTTTATTTGGGGGATGATGGCCTGCAACTGATGTCATTATGAACCTTAAATCAACTTTCTGCTTGCTTGAACATGGTCACCTGGGTGCAGGAGGACAAGGACAGGAAAAGGTTGAAGAGCTAGGCCTGTCTTGGTGCCAGAGCTACCTGCGGAGGTAAAATTGAGTTGGGAGGCCGGTGATCAATCAAGTGTCCCAACAACATACATTTTTTAAAGTGCTTGTCCGTATTTCCCGCTCGTAATGAGTGGAAGACTTGTGTTGAAAAATGGAAACAGGAAAGATAAACCAATCCGGCGTTTAAAAGATGGACAAACTGGGTACCAAAGAAAGAAGGACTTACAGATCAATGTCATTATGTGTCCCACAGTAATCAGATGGAGAGAAACTCGATGCATTTTTGTCCCAACACAAAATATAATACCCACGGAGACTTTTGTGTAATGATATTTTATTGGCATTTATGTGGAATCATGAGCCATAGCTGTTGCAGAGTTTGAAGAGGTTGGGGTAGGAGAGGGAAGTGGCGAACGGAGAGCAATAAAACTGCAGACTAGATCCAGAAAGAGACAGGTTGGTCCCACTCCGTTACCTCTCTCATCAGACCGGTCTATGTGCTGTGGTTTCATCTGAGTAAACAGTGGTGTTGGGGTCACCAGGACTGCTGGGTAATTGAGCCAGTGTGGGCTGCCCTGTCAAGCACATCGGCTAAAAATACATCGCCCACTGTCACCGGGCACCAAGTGGGGGGAAAATGATTGTTCCCTCTGTCAGAGCGCAGGACACTCACATCACCAGTGACCTTCCTCTTCTAAACCAGCTATCACAGGAAAAAAAAAGAAGGAAAAACAAACTTTTGCTCCAAAGTCCAAAACAACAATGCAGCCTTTGATAATGAAACTGGAAGTCAACAAGCGCTGGATTAGCATGCTATAACATGGAGCGCAAAATAAAGCATGTTTAGCCTGTCATGAATGCGCACTTCGATTAGGGCACATCAAGGCAATGAGGAGAATAAGGGAGAATACAGGCAGACAGAATAGCGCGAGTGTGCTGAAATATCCGAATGAGGGAAGACGCTCCTTGGAACGTGGAAAGGTTATTGATTTGTCCTGCAATCATTTCCTGCTCTTTGATATGCAAACGATCTAGTGTGAATTTACAGCAATCCTATCAGACTCATTTCACAGTTCTTAGCCCCTGCGTCTCTCTGGAGTCCTCCGCCTCATTAGGCCAATGTTCTCCATTACCAGCATAATTAAAATCTTTAGTAGCTTATCAAATTAAAAATATTTTTGCTGATCGTATTGAGATCTTCACCTCACAGTTATTTTCCACAACAGGAATAAATTAAGACTAAGCATTTTGCACACAATGTATTACAATCTGGTGCTTGAAAGGAGCACTTCTGGTATCTATAGAGCTGGTGATGAGAAACAGGGAGGAGTGGGGGGGGGGAGGGGGGGGGGGGGGATCCGGAGAATATAAACCCGAGTAGATAAGCATGTGCAAATCATCTTTCATTTGCCAGTGCTCATTTTGAGAATGGATTTAATTAATTGTAATGTTAAACGAGTGGTCTTGCCCATTTGCTCTGTGGTTAAACTCACCACATATCCAAGGGGCTTCTTCCGCCATGCTTAAAACATGTGGCTTATTTAAGCACAGACTTGAATCCCCATTACAAATGCACATATATTTTGATATTAGATTTTTCAGCGCTATTAAAATCGGGCTTGCCCGCACGCACCGTGTTTTGACTGAAAACACTCGTAGCCACAGATTTTCGCCCATGAGGTTTAATCTTATTTTACATATCAGCTTTGTCCTCATTTGTGTCAAGTGAAAGCAGACTTCTCAGACACACCATAGATGGACACATACGTATTGTGTGCCAACAAAGACTCTCTGCTGTGAGACACGGAAAGTAGGGTTCACAAGCACTGCATTATCCTTCTTCATCCCGAGTCTGGCCCTGAGTGTCGGGATCGCTGTCACTCATTTGCTGAAAAAACACACACGCTCTGCAGATGTGTTTTCAGCACGCAGAAAAATGTCTTCTGTCTTCAAGGGATTTTTTTCCCCTTTTTTTTCAAAGGGCTGTGTGAGCTGCAGTGTGCTTGACTTGTTAAATGAGGTTTAAGTCTTCTGTGTCAATTGGAGGCGGTGCAGAGCTTTAAGTATTTTGCACATTAATGTGCTTTTGAGAATATTACCCCAGGGTCCTGTTTCTCAAGGAAACAGGGGTGGGATGTTTTCTAGCGTCGCTATTGTAAACTTTTTGTTGTGTGTGTTCTGCACATCTCTGTTGTTGGGAGAAAATGATGGTGATTATTCAGATTTCATGCCTTGTCTGGATGTTAATTATTTACTCTGGGCATGAAATTTGCGTGAATGCCAGGGATTTGTGTATACAAACACGCTTCAGATCACAGAAAATGGGAGGGAGAGAAGAGAGGAGCGAGGGAGCTCTCAGTGCATTACCCTGTAGTGGAATATTTTCTAATTAATACTCGGCTTTGTTTACAGACGCTTTGATTTAATTAAGTGATGAAGAAGAGAGTTGGATTAGCTGTTAATTGATTTAATTATCCAATTTGTTTGTCTCAGGCATGATTCCGACAGAGCTGCAACAACTGTGGAAAGAGGTGACAAACGCTCACGTAAAGGAGGAGCACAACAACAGCAGCAGTAACAACGGCCACCGGGGCCTCGACCTGTCCTCCCCGGCACCGCCAAAGAACCCACTCCTCAACCAGCATGCCTCCACCAACGGCCAGTACATGAGTCACAAGAGAGAAGGGTAAGTCTCATCTGCAGGGTGTTGTCGGGTTGTTGTTGTTGTTTTCTTTTATTTGCATGTGACTTGCAGTGCTTGTGTGATCTCACGATACTGCTACAGGGAAGAGGTTTTTATAAAACTGTGACCTCGGGAAACATCATCTCGCTTTAAAGAAAAACTCGTTTTGCTTTATATGCCACTTTAAATTACCCTTTTTTTCCACATGGATTGAGTTGATGGAGAAATCCCTCTAGACTTGAACAGATTACTGTTTTAATTTATAGTTTGTAAGTATTCCTGAAGACCAGCACAGTTACCTTTCTGTGCCACTGAGTACACCTGGGGATTACATAGAAACATCAGGGAGAAATGTGCGTATAGTTGAAATTAGATCTCGGTAAAATTATCAGGGGGGATCACCGTGGTTTTTTTTTATTGTTTTTACTAAGTTGTATAGGGAGAATAGCTGAATTACGATTTTCCGCTGCACTTCCTTGAGAACATTTTGATCACCAGGAAGTAAAAACATTCCTTTGTGAATAGGGAACGTGAAGAATCATAAATGTCTGTTTGTTTTGTTTATTTATTGTGTTACAGAATAAATAAACAAAACAAAAACAACAAGCTGTTATATGTTAGGAGAAGCAAACACTGGGTGATATTTTCCAAACCACCATAAATCATCCCTGAAAGGCATGTGCTCTCTGAGCTGTGTGTATGTGTCTTTAAGGAAGGAATTAATTTGGCATCTTACACATTTGCTTGTTTTCTTGCACCAAAGCCTGATCTTTGAACTGCTAGTGAGGAGCCTCCAGGCACCATGAGCTCACTGCCTAACATCTGACTTGTGTTTCAGTGATCAAAACCTACGCGTCATTATGAAAGCAATGCAGATGAAAACATGTTTAGCACAGTAAACTAAGCAGGTCTTCAGAGGTGAAGAGGGGCAGCTTATGGGGAGGGATGTGGAGGATGGGTTACAGAGAGGATCTGAGTGACACCAAGGGAGTATATCATGATGTGCTGATAGAGAACAGTTATGTCTTTTCAAGTAGAGCTTTTGGTTCTATATAGATTAATGGCATACTACCTGCACAGACTCATCCTCTTTAGTGTCTTTCAAAGTTATCTCCTACCGCGGTGCAGGGGAAAAAAAGCGGGCATAAATTGTTCCTGCAGTTGACAGTATTCACAGGCTTCCAGTGCTCCATCCAGCGTCTGGCTGAGTGTCTGGTTTCTGTGTAGTTAAAGACAAATCACAGGGGAGGCTATCGACTCGTTGCTCACTCCACCGCGTATTGTCGCAAGTGGAGCAAACAAGGTGAGCGTCGATGGCAGAAAAAGGCAAGAACCAGCTTCAGCTGAGGGCTCCATGAAACATCGGGGAAGACATAACGCAAGAGCTGGCAGCTCCTCTGCCTCGCGCTGACTGTCAGAGATTAAAGAAGTTGTCAGCAGCAGTTTAACACAAGCTTAAGTGAAGAAGGCAGCCTCGGTCTGAATATTCTCACCGTATCTTAGATCTGTCAGAAAACCAGGCAGGTGATTTTCATCCACCCCATCTGTTGGAGAAAGTGGATTACCTACCCAGAGTTTTAACTGCACAATTACTAAAAAAGATGACTGATAGCAAGCGAACACAAAACATTCCTTATTAAATGCCGAATGATGCTAATTTAGATTCACACAACCAATAATCCTTTCTTGTGTTAATTTTAAATCGCACAACTATCAAGAGCGTTATGCCTCTCTTTTGATGATGCAGCCTCAATTCTAATCAGACTCCATGGGAAGAAAAATGAAATATTATTAAGTATGATTATTCTAAGCAAGGCTCTGAGAAAACGTCTGTGTTATAATCCAGGGATTTGAATAATCAGGTTGAAGATAATGGGCTGGGCCGGCCCGGGCGTAAATAGAGAGCATCCACTCATCCTCCCAGTGCTGAACTTAATGAACTTTTAATTGATGCGGTTTTGCAAGTCCTTTTGTCATGCAACAGAAACAAGCCTCTCTGCTGATGGGCCTGTTTTCCCGACTGGCTTCAGATTGGTTTACAGCAGGCCCTAAGTACCATGTAGTTAGTTTCATGTGTCATATAAAATCTGCCTAGGCACAACGACGCCTGCAACTAAAACCTTAAGTGCATCCACAGGAATCACTCACCGGCTTTGCACTTCCGTCTTAAGGAAGGAGGAGAAATTCAATCACTGCTGGCTTGACACACCGAAGATGAGGCACGTGTTCCTGCTTTTAGTTGTTTGAAAGAACACTCTGGCAAGGCAGGCTGGGATTTTTGTTTGTCTGAATAACATCCCAGATATGACCAGATCCTGAGTCACTCAATCTGTCAGCCCGTGTTGTTTCCCAGCCCACGAACTGTTATGCACAGATAGAGATATACCCCTGTGAGTCAGGTCATCTTTATTCAATGATTTGCTTATTCAAATCAAATGTGCATGATCTGTATCTGACACAAATTCCCAACACATTGCTGCATCAGCTTTATAAAGTGGGAGGGGGTTGGGAGCATCCTCACAAAGCACTTGGCCCACTTTACTTCCCAACAACCATCAGTAACCACAGCTCTGGGACTGTAACACAGCAATCTGTTAAGGAGATAAATAATCAGATTTGGCACAGCACTCCCATCTCTCTCTTGCCTTTCATTTGTCTTACACCAGAAGAAACTGATAATTAAATCATTTAGGTTAAAGCATGCAGTGGCACCGAGAAGACAGAAGGAAAGGATCCTGGAAAGTGAACAGAGGGGAGGAGGGTAGCGGGTGTGAATCGGGGATGGACACAAGGCGATAGGCTAAAGTCGGCGCTAGTGCCGAGGATGGATGTAGTGATTGGCTTCAGACGCTGCCATTTAGTATGGTGGATATCAATCTTCCCACGTTTGCTGAGATATTGAGTCCACCAGGACAGAATCTCAACCGTGGATCTCCGCTTGTTTATGGCCCAAAGCATCTCATCAAAATAAGTGAGCTGGAAAACAACTGGCTAGCAGCTGTCAAAACCACCTTTGTGTGCACTTGTGCCTGTCTGTCTACACATAAACAGAGTGCAACACCTGGAAGGTTAACGCACTGTCTGGCCGGGTCTGTAGGCACTTTAATGTTCCTTCTCCTCTAAAGAAGCTGATGACATGGTTTTCCTCATCGCTCTTAAGAGATCATTAGAGTGTTCTTCCCCCCCGGCTGGCTGACAATAATAACATCCTGACAAACCTGTCGTGGGTGCGAGTCAAATTTAACGCAACATGGGAAGCTGCATTTTTCCCCCCCTCCTCTGAACATGTTCTCAAATGGGAGAAAACCCCATGAATACTGCACTCTTCTCCTATTACACTAATGTAACTCATTTGGTGTAAATTCTGTCATTTACTAGTGTTTAGCCATCCACCGTTTAAAAGGGCTCTTCTGCCGCCAGCCCCTCATAGCGCTTTGTGCTCACTGATTCCCAGTGCACTCCACATTTCAATATCTTGTTAATACAGAATTAACCAACAAGCCTCCTGCAAAGAATTAAAAAAGGATCCCTTTAAATTAAAAGCCAGTGTTACCTTCACCAGTCCGCACATTTCCTTGTTAAAAACTCATTATAATAGGTCTTCCGTCATCTATTTATTAGCTGTATCAAAACAGAGGTCTTAATGTGAATGCATAATTCATAATTGAATAAAAAAATTCAGACTTTTGAAAGAGGGAGGAGGAAAAAAAGCTGCTAACCACATTCATGAATGCTTGACTGCTCCCTAATTGCAATGCAATTATCACATGTTATGAACAATGTGAACTCTTAAGCAAGTAATTATAACACAAGGAAACCTGCGACGACCTTTAAAATTTCCTACTCGAGGTACAGTTTTACTAACATTGATACAAATGAGATTTTAATCCGAACATCAGATTTTTTTTAATCCTGCAAAATTGGCACGCCGCGCTTTGATTTCTTTTCACTCGTTCGTTTTATGTACATTTTGAAATCAGCGCTGATCGATCGTTGCCAAGAAATGCAAAACATTATTAATGTCAGTGCATTTATTTTCCATTCCTGTCCCTAAAAGAACCCTGTAAAGTTGAAGAGTTAGACATTATTATCTCTGATGGAAATTGTGTACGTGAATGGAGTTACTCCCGTGTGACAGCACAACAGAGTCTAGTGCAGTGACTCTCCTGATCCATCTTGTTGTCTTAGAGAGCGAGGCTCACACTAGAGGAGGAGAAGCAGCAGCATTGTGCTCATGAGCCGCCAGAAGCACAGGTGGTAGCGATATAGGCCAGTCCCCCAGGCTCTTGTAGCTGAAAGTTGTGTGTCTTGTATAGTGCCTGTGTCCATATGGCTGCCTGTCTTGCTCTCTTAGCAGACACTGCCTCCATACAGACCGCTTTCTCTTAGCGCTGACTGTGGTTAGCTGTGCTTCCGTGCCTCTCACCATATGGAAGATGTTTCAGAGTTTGTTTTTCAGGGATGTTCCTGCTATTTAGACTGATTGTACCATGCCATACGCTCCCCATAGATGCGTGCTTGTCAGCCCCTGGTGACACAGATTGGTCAGTAGATAAATTGATACCAGGCGGGGTTGTTTACAATACGTGCATGGTGTGAAAGTAGGGGTTTTAATATCATGGTACAGGCTCCTCCAGGTGGGCTCTATGACATGATGCAGCAGGCGGCACAGGAAAAACAGCAACTCAGGGAGCCCCCTAGCAGTCTAGATCAAAGTGAACCACAGCATGGCTCTGTGAAACTGAATAAATACACACTGATTTGATTGTGATTTCACAACAAGAGTCCCTTCCTTTAAGAGCAGAGCAAGCCAGATCACACAGGTACAGTGATTCCACAAAGCCCAAGGGTCACAGATTAAGTAGAAGTCAACGTTTTCATGCGGAAACAAGATACAGTACAAACAAGAAAGCAGTAACCAGACTTCGTCTGAAATGGAGAAAACGGGTTCTTTGGCCTGTCGTTAAGTTACGTGACTGCAGGACTGTCTTTACTAAAAACGTTTTCTCTGAATCTCTTTCCCAGATCCACGCTAGAAGAGCCTTCCCCCCACAGTCACCCTCTGTACGGCCATGGCGTTTGCAAGTGGCCCGGTTGCGAGGCAGTGTTTGATGATTTCCAGTCATTCCTCAAGTAAGTAAAAGTCATAGTCGGAGGTGCTTTTCTATCACAGTTTGTTTGTCCTCTTGTTGGGTCGATTACACTTTTCTTTTCCTGACCCCCAGCGACTCAAAAGCACTGCAGGTGCAGCTGGTTGTTATTCTCGAGTCTGGGTTGGGCCTCTCTTGACAAGGGTACCGTGGGGTCTCCTTCTGGGAACGGCATGGGCCTCTAATTCCTGTGATAAGCGCAGTTCCCATGGTGACAGGGGCCATTTTTCCCAAACAAACAACGGGAGGATGTTTATCTGTGGCAGCTCACACTTTGGGCGCTCTGCATGTTTGCCCTTGTCACCGGACAGGAGAATTGGTGTATATGTCTTAGACTGCCTTGCTCAGCTTTTTCTGTCCTTCTCCTAGGAGTCTGTTTGTTTTCTCTCCTGCCTCCTGTTTTACTTCTGTGGCTTTTTGGTTTACATTGTTGTTTAGTTCAACAAAGCCCAAGTCTCACCTCCGTGTTAAATTTAACCATGTGTAGAGTAATTAAAGAGCCCCAGCTAAGTGTTTAGCATTTTTCTAATGTGCGCTCTATGACAGGTTTTACTCTGTCCAGCCTGACACGGGAATTGTTTTGCTCCCCGATGCCCAATTTGAGTCAGACCCCTGGTTTACTAATCAACGCTGTGTGCAGTGCGCTCTAGGTAATCCAACACATAACAGTGCCATGGTTACAGAGGGGATGAAAACATCTGCGTTGTGGCAGCAGATCAATGGCTCACTGTCACCCCGGATTAGTCGCACTTTAAACAAGATATGACACAATTCCATTATCCTAAAACAAGCACTCAGCGAACACACACTTTCCCGAGAGATGCAGGAGAGAAAGGTGCTGCGTAGGACCGCCTCGCAGGTCTGCTGAAAGTTTTGACTCTCTTTGTCAACATTTTGAATCCTCTTTTGATTGTTTACGTGAATCCGCTTTGAGCTAGCGTGCGTTTGAAAGGCTCATCGCGCCACATTGTATGTTACAGTTTCTGTGTGTCTAAAAAGAGGCAGTTATGTAGTTTTAGTTCAATTTAGAAAAACATCCTGGGACAGGCAATTATTAAACCAAGTATTACACACACACTTTCACACACTTTCACACATGCACTTGCATATTTCAGCTTTGGGAGTGCCCGCTTAAATCCATCACTATTTATTGTATTCTGACATTGCCTCACCCTTTGTTTATAGAACAGAGGAGAATTAAATTCAGTGCGCCCGGTAGAGCTCTGCCTTAAAAAGTCTCTAAGTGCACTCAGCTATGTTTTTACAAGTGTTTTTATCATGGCAACATCTTGTTTACTTTAGTTGCCTGCTCAAACTGCTTGGAACACGTTAAAAAAACATTTGGGGAGAGTCTCCACAAAGCTGCCTTTGTTTAACAGCAGGCAAGAGTGTGAGCAGCTCACCAAGGTGTTAACTCTCAAACCCTTAAGCACTTCCACATGAAACCCAGCAACTGATACTGCAGGCCTCCGAGAGGAATCAAAAATAAAAACAAAGAATACTTCGGGCATTAGAGAGAAAAGAAAAAAAGGAGAAGAAGGAGTCGTCTCTGTAGGTTGAAAATATATGTGAGGAGAGATGTGTGTCTGTCTGCGAGTGTGCAGTCAGCAGAACACAGTGTACTGTGCACCAGAGAGAAAGAAAGGTGAGGAGGACTCTAACGTCCACCAGATTTCAGCTCCACATGCCAACAGTAACAACTAACACGGGACTGAAATGTTGTTTTAAACTCTGTGTATTTATTTTATCTTTTAAAGAAAACATTACATACCTACACGCACTATCTCGATAAATACAAAACACCCAAATCCCTGTTCCTGTTTTCAAGATCAGCACGCAGAAGGGTGGGGTTGGGGTTTAAGCAGAGCCTGATGTTTTTACAAGGGTCAGGACCCTTCTTTTCAGTGTCCAGTCAGAGGTCAGAGCCAGCGAAACACTCCAGTGCCCTCTAGTGCTGCACTGTCTGTCTGCTCAGACCTCAAAATCTCCTGCACGTCGCCACGATGTAGTGACTGCTTTATAAGTTATGTGGCCTTGCAGCTCTGCAAACATCCATCCATCCATCCATTCGCTTCCGCTTCTCCTTTTCAGGGTCGCGGGGGCTCTGCAAACATATGAAACATATAATATAGAGTAAAATACCTTCTCTAAATAAAAAGTAGTAAAGCTATTATTTTTTTAAAAATCAAAAAATCTAAGCTTTTTAAATGTAATTGTTACTGTACAGATGTGTGCTTGTAAATTAAATTCCACCCAGCGGTGGAGAAGATAAACCTTCCTCAGCTGCGGCTCCAGTCTATATAATTAGAAACTGTAACCGAAAAATAAATAAATAAAAAATAAAATCAGGCAAACTAACTGATATATAAAACCGACTGTGGGAATATCCATTTAACTTGTTTTATTGTGGCAATTTACATTAGTCTCTGTCATCCTGCCAGAGAGCTTTTTAAAAGCGGCTTCATTTGAAGTCCAGAAAGTGACACATGCCAACGTTCATAGTCTCTCTCGATGTCAATTCCCCCGTATCCCCTGCTCCCGTGTCCAGACACTCCTCTCAAGGCTGCATTAGGGCCATTTGAATATTTCATTTCCTATTAATTATGCACTGTGACTCTCCATGTCATTAGAAGAAATAAAGTGGAATGTAACAAAGGATGAAAAGAAGCAGGGCACATGTCTCCTATGAGCACAGAAATTCCAAAGCTGCTCACGTAGGCCAGCCTTCATTGAAAATTCAGCCTGTGCCAGTTAAATTGGAGTTGAAACGTCTTTACCTATTATTTTCTCCTTTGAAATTTAGTAAGATGTCCTGAAATGTTTACCAGTTTCATTTTCTGACGTACTTAATTAAATTGGCATTTATTTGACTCAAACAAATGGAAAGCCCAGAGAGGCCTGAATTGTGAAAAAGGGTGTTATTGCCCACCCTTTTTTAAAAATATGGCTTTTTAATTTCTTTTTCTTTTTTTCTTTTTTTTGCCACAATAATTAACTTCAAGTGCTAAATGTATATATCGGAGTCATTCTTCAAAAATAAATCATCAGAACACAATAGGAAGATGTGAGTGTGGTGGAAGGAGCCTGGGTTGCCTGGGAAGATATAAATCATTCACCTCAAGGTTGAAAACACCACAGCAGAACAGAAGCAGGGCCCTATCAATTTTACCTTCCTTTTACATGTCTGTTTTGTGAGTGTAAATGTGCTGTTTTATGCACAAATGTGTTGTCTATACACGAAGCAGGGGCATCACTGCAATTTACCGGGCTGTCGTACCGTGCTGTGCCGTCACAGGTTGATTCTGGCTATTTTTGATTTGCAGTAAATGACAGAAAAAGTACATATGAAAAGGCAGGCGCACCTTTCTCCCATCTGCCGGCGCCACTTTGTGCACACGCAGACACGCCTGGTGACAGTGACCTACATGGTCACTGAAAATGTGATATAATTTATGATATATATAATATATTGGATCCATTAGCGAGCATAATGAAGTAGTGAAATGAAAGGGTATTTGTGAAATCAGTTCAAACATCCTGCTTGGATTATGATTAAATGATTAATGAAATGCCCCTGCATAAGCATTTTCAAACAGTAATTCATGCGGCAGCTGATAAAATTCCTCCAATCATATTTCCTTCACTCATGAACCTTATCTCCACCATTTTATATAAATCACGGAAAAAACCCTGTCTGCTACCCGGCGAGCTACTTATTTAGATTAGTTATAAACGTACAGGAAAAGAGAACATCTTCCCCTGTATAAAATAATCACGCATAATTATATCCATAATTCAACTTTGTGACAGATCCCATCTCCTTGTCCTGTCCTCTGCATTTGGTCTGGCTCTGTTTTTTTCTCCTTCTTTCTTTTTTTGAATTCTCTTAATTTTAATGGTATAATTAACAGTCAAAACACCAAAAAGGACAAAATCATCCAGGCAAGGGAAAGCTGCAGTGAGAAGAAATGGCATTAGGGCACTGGTGCGTAATTTAGCAAAGGAATCCAACCTGAAATTCTTCAATCATCCCTCTTATCTGTAAGCTGTAGTTAGAGGAGACATGACCGTCATGAAATATTGAGAGTCATTCTTCTATGTTAAAAGAACTATTTCTTTTTGTTCTGCAGGTGGAATCATTACAGTACGCAGTTAGTTTTATGAGTATTTTTTTTTAATGTTATCACATGGTCTATATACATTGTGCTTTGCCCAGTGATCAGATTGCAGTATTAAACCACGCACTGCAGGACTGTGAATCTGACATTACCTTCTTTCTGGTGTCTGTGTTTTCATTTTTTGTTCTTTCTGTTTTGCAGACATCTTAACAATGAACACGCCCTGGATGACAGGAGCACAGCCCAGTGTCGGGTGCAAATGCAGGTCGTACAACAGCTGGAGCTGCAGGTATTGTCCCACTGAATGTTTTGAACCAAATATTTATGTGTCTTCTTCTGCTGACACTTCCTCAGTGTCTGTCCAAACGCCTCCCTGTCTGACTGATATCAGCCATGGGGTCACTCATAGAGGGATGGGGGTGGTGGTGCTGGTGCAGCAGATTAAATAATTTTGTACATTTGCTACTAACCAGTCATTAAAAATGTGTTATGTATGCATGACAGCCAGGAAAAGATATATGGAGGGCCCCGGGCTAAGTAGAGAAGATAATTACATTTTGAATTTTACTGGGTTTTAAAGTTATTTATGACTTTTAACTGTTTGGCACCAACAATAAAACATAGCATAATGTGGATAGGCGCTCAGTGTTGAGTGGAACAGAAAGGTTATTGAAGCTCAGTGCAGAAAACTGTTGATACAGTAATCAGTATCTTTAATACCGTGTCCCTCATGAACGGGCTTTAATGTTCTTTAAAAAATATGCATGCGCATTAAGACTGTGCTCAGGGAAAAAGACGCAGTTTACAGTCATTGTATTGAGGGGGCTTGGAGTGTCCAATGAGTCGTGTGTGTGTGTGTGTGTCTGTGTGTGTGTGTAACAGTGTTTGACTAAATGGTGACCACTGAACTAATGTATAATAAAGATATTTATTAGTGTTTCAGGAAAAAAATAACTATGTTTTGTACAAGTTTTTCTGCTGTAGCAAATACAAAGATATTCATGCTGTTTGCAGTTTTGGGTCACGTATTAGTCAAATATAATACCACCAAAATGACTAACGACAAACAGTTGTGGTTTACAAAAGGCTAACTTCAACAACCAACAGTGCGATGTTAGTTGCTCAGACATTGCACCATGCCAGTGTCCTGTTATTTCCGCTCAGCTGGTGTATTATCCAGAGATCGAGTGAAGGTTTATCAGACACAGACTTCCTCTGCATGCAGCCTGTCACCATAATTTAGGCTGGCAGCTAAGACAGTGCAGAGTTTCAGACAGGTAGAAAGGCCCTGAGCTTGTTATTGGCGATGATTCGCAGTGTATTTTAACCTTGACTTGGAGAGTGTAGTTAGATTGTATGATGTGCAGGCTTGTTGACAGCTTCCAAAAACAAAAAACAAAAAAATAAATAATTAAATAATGGTCTGAAGAAGAATAAGGGTGTTCACGCTCTAAAAGATGCCTTCACTATACAGGGATGTATATAATTAAAACATGGGCAAATATAGATTTTTATTGTGTATGTTCATTAAAACTTCACCGCTCTCCTTTCTTCTCATTACAGCTAGCAAAAGACAAAGAGCGTCTGCAGGCTATGATGACGCACCTTCATGTCAAGTCCACGGAGCCCAAAGCCACCCCACAGCCGGTGAGCAGCAACCCCGTCATACATATCTCTCTTGTCCCCCGCTATCCTTTTGTTTGTCTTAATTGGCACACATGTATTCATTAATCCTTTCCTCCATCTTATTTATCTGCTAAATAAAAACAGCTGTTCTCTTGAGGCAGGCAGTAAATATAGTTTGGAGCACATCTGCTGACATCCAGGATTCAATTTGGTGTCTGTGATGAACTGGATGCACACTCTGTAATGGCCCCTTTTCTCAGCTTCAAAGAACAAGTGGCTGCTTGGGTACAGAGAGAAGATGAGAAAGCAGAGAAAAATAGAAAAAAAATAATACATATTATATTTAATCAACTGAATGTGATGTGGCATGTATTCTTAGTGCTTTAACAGCAAAATTAGTGTTTTTTTGACAGAGGATATAAATGTTATGAGAATCATAGAGTCACGCCAATGTGTGTTTGAAGAAAAAACAAGAACAAGATAGCATGAACAAATATAAAGATAATAATAATTTATTGATTTTCAATAAACTGGAAGCTAGCTGATGTCACCTCAAAGTAAATGTGTTAGTAGCAACTTTTATTTTAACCTCCTAACTAATTCTTCCCTGACTGTATTCACATAAATTAGCCTTAAAATAATGATAGTAATTACTAATCTCTAATCTGTCCATGAGATCAAAAAGAATCAAATCACTAGCATCTCTTATTTATCAGGAAGCTTTAGATTCAACTTTAATTTTATTTTAAAAGACCTTGAAAGTTACTTCCACATTTGACCCTGTTTCATTTTATTTGACTTAAAGCTAATTTTAAAATATTTATATTTCTATGAAAAAGATACAACAGAAATGATTTCATTCCATTTATTAAAAAATTTGTAAGGGGGAAAAATGAAAATGTGAGTAAATGCAATTGCAGATCATTATTTTTATCTTCTTGGCACATTCCCAACATTTTACCTTCTGTATCACTCTCAATGTGTTTTATGCCGTAAAGCCTTGTGCTTAATCCCTATCCTATAGGGGCAAAGGCTTAACATATGGCATTTAAGTGTCTCTATTTTGTCATGCTTAAAAGGGGGGCTCAGCAACATATTTCAGTCTGTATGACAGTTAATTCAGAGAGCCCAATGAGCAAAGATCATTTTACTGCAGGGCGTGAGTGTGAAATCATGCACACACGAGCACACAGATGCACAATATACATGCAGGAGTGCCGTCCCTCGGCAGCCTCACAGCTTGGATCATTTATTTACAGTCAGCGAGGTAGCTATTGACATCCAGAGGCAGCGTGTGCGCTCTACAAAGCGCAGCCCGTCAACATAAAGCGCGCAGAGATGTTGAATGACAATAAGCTGTCTGTAAAGCTGTGCCTGTGTCACGCGCTCTGATTGTGTAGATTAGAGTGGAAAACGAGGCCTCTGACATGGGGACATTTGTATATGAAAAGTGGTAGGGTCTGCAGATAGCATCTCGAGTTTGCTACCTCTCCTCTCTCCCCGGGGCCCAGCAGAATGGCTGTGTCAGAGCTCAGCGTTAACACTCTCGAGGGGGCGAGCTGGGTTTTTATTCAAATAAATAGACTCCCAGCTGCTGTGAAAAGCTTGGATAAATATACGTGACTTTAGCTGGGCAAGTGGCGGACTTACACAGGTCAGGGCCAAAGGTTCCACCGAGGTTTTAAGTGTAGATTGCAGCATCAGATGCATCCACAAAGAAGACGCAGAATGAAAGCATTCTTAGAGCTGAGTGGAAGCAGAGCTTCTCTGAAGAAACAAAGGTATCTGCTTCCAGTAATTGCTAGTTTTGCTTTTCTGCTGCTCTGGACTGTTGAATATAAAAATGGCATGTGTAAGTAGCCTACTGTCACAGCAAAGTAGCTCAGATGAACTCGCTGGTTTACATTTAGTTATAATTAAAGACAAACAAACTGATGCTGTGCATTCGCAGCGACAAATGAATGGGATTCATTTTATTCTTGTGAGGTGGACGAGGGTGGGGGTAAGATCAAAACAAAATGTGCCACATTAGCAATGCGTGTGTCTGCCTGTGTGTGTGTTTGTATTTGCCTCTGCATGTGTGGGTGGGTGTCTGCACACGGTGTCACTAAGCATTCTTGTCAGAAATCTGACCTTTTACGCCATACATAATTAAGGAGGGACTTTTTGTTTATTTTCTTTAGCAGCTTGCCGAGTCAAAGCCAGTATAATTAGATCACCAATTACCATTTAATTAATTTCAGTCTGAAGTCTCATTTTGTCTAGGCACTGGAGTGAGCCCAAATGGTGAGGCAAACAAAGGCAAGGCTATTACCAGCCTGTCTGGCCTATTGTTGAAGCCTCTCTGTGTTTATGGCCAGGGAATATGGATGAAACATGAAACAAAGCCTGCTAATCCACAGGAAGAGAAGTCAACACCGCAGCCCCGTTCTATTGATAGCATTGTGTCAGAAACACGCAAACCCAAGTGTAATTTATTTTGTTCATGATTTAGAATAACACGTCTTCAGCTTCTGTTGGTGAGGATGTAGTCCACATTCATGCATCCATCCAGAAATCCAAATTATTTGGGCAGACTCTGCCAAAAAGGCAGAGTTCAGCCTTGCAAACATAAATACACATTGTGAGGATGTGGGCACAAGTCTGTTAAAATAGGAGATTTGCACTACACAAATGTCACTGGTTTTGTTTGGAGCAGTTTGCAACTTAATAATGAGAGGGGTGTGTGTGTGTGTGTGTGTGTGTGTGTGTAAAACAAGTTGTAATTTAAAATGAAATCAAAGGAACAGTGCCGAGTTCTGGGGATAGAGAGTTAAAAATGTGATTGGTAATTGGGCAGCTGAACAGAATTTACGCGTTTGCATAGAGTCAGATGTTAGAAACCATCATCACCTTGTCAACATTACGAGCAGAAATCACACATTTGATCCCTCGTAATCAACATGTGATGTCACAGATGAGATATTTCCAGCCCCACTGTCCTTTCTCCAGCTCTTTAGCTCTCTTTCTCCATTTTCTTTCTTCATTTTTCTTCTTCTCACAGTCTGAAGTCATGTTTAATTTGGAAAGTGGCCTCCTTCGGCAAATTAGCAATTAGAACAATTTTGCAGGAATATGTATATGTGTCATTAGTTTTCCTGCCAATTAATAGCTGGAGCAGGGGGTCAGGCTAGAATTTTCCACTTGACTGCTGCTCCAGTATGGAGGTTTGGCAGTTGGTTCGGAGCTGCCACAGCTGCTGGAAGCCATGCTATACCTTTGGAGCACTCGCTGTAATTAGTTTACCTTGTAGCCATTATTACTTAAATACCTCCTTCGCCCTAACCCACACATCCCATCCACAGACACAGACCTCAGTGATGAAACCAAGTATTCTCTACAGAAGGCTATGTGTGAAATACCATGTGTCCGTCTTTACCATTGGCCATCATGGCCCTCATAATGGAGGTCAGTCAGATACAGTAGTTAATCATCAGATCACCTCCATAAGCAGCTCCTAATTAGAGTCTTCACAATACAATTTCAGCTTATAATTAGCCCAGATTGGCTTCTTCCTCTGGCTGCCTTATTAGCGGGGCTGCTCAGCAGTAGGTGAGAATCACACTGTCATTTTTCAGAGCTGTACAGGCTGCCCTTCTTCCCTCCACAACTCAAAACTCATGGGTTACCATGCTGGAGACCCTCAGCGGGTAGATGAAGTGGAGGGGGGTGTTTGTCCAAATGGGACAAAAGCTCCAACAAAGGCGATGAAACAGAGAGCTGGGAGAAGGCCTGACATGGCAGCAAGAGAGGGAGGGAGAAGAGGTTTGAAGAGTGGGGGCGGTGCAGGAGCGGGGCTCCAGGGTTGTTTTCCAAACATTTAGCAACCGTTCATGGATCATCTCCGGGCCCAATTACAATTAAAGAGGAGGTATGCATAGTCAATGAGGCGGCTAAGACACGGGGGTAATTAGGAGACTAACTGAGCTCTGTCTGTCTGTCTGTTCTTCTAGCTCAACCTAGTGTCCAACGTCACGTTGTCCAAGTCGGCTCCAGAGGCCTCTCCTCCTCTGAGCCTTCCCCAGACCCCCACCACACCAACAGCACCGCTTACACCCCTCTCCCAGACCCATTCTGTCATCACAGCCACAAACCTCCACAGCATGGGCCCTATGCGACGGCGATATTCAGAAAAGTACAACATGCCCATCTCTCCAGGTACTGCAGAATGCTCACACATAGTACTATATATACATGAAGCTGTCATCTGTTCTGCTAAATAACTGACGTGTTTGTTTTGTTACGTTAGGCTGTAACTTGTGTTATCGACGGCTGATAGGACATGAATGTTGACAATTGCACTTGTGTTTGCTCCCTGTGTACAGATATCAGTCAGAACAAAGAGTTTTACATGAATACAGACGTAAGACCACCATTCACGTATGCCTCACTAATAAGACAGGTAAGGAACTCTCACTGATTTCTTCTTTGTGATTTAGTGAATAAAAACTTTCAACTCCTCCGTCCGGCTGAAACTTTTGTCTACACACTCAGCAGTTAAGAAAAAAATGTTCATGTTTTGCTACATGTGAACACAATTTAGACAGAAGAATAGATAAATCATCTCGAAACGACTGCAAGAATGCATTCAGGATTCAAAACACAGCCGCACATGACAAAAATGTTTGATTAAGCATTTCAGTGACTGTAATTATTACCAAATTCATTTCACACAACAGTGGGGATGAACCTGTTTTAAGATGGCCAGTCAATTATCGCTCGACTGCAGTAATCTGGGATCTCAGGAATTAATCTGAGCGGTCCATAATTGCTGCCCTGTAATCTGCCTGAGAAATGTTTTCACTTGCCCTTCATTTACACCCGCAAAAGAAAATATATTCAAATCTGCCGTTTCGAATAAAAAGTGCATTACACTTCTAGGAACACTTTACATAGACGGGTTCTCGTTTGGTTTTTTTATGGGGGTTTCTTCAGGAGAACGCACACAAACCTGCATGCCTTTTGTGAATTATTAAATGTATTGTAAAGGGAGCAAAGCTGAAAATGTTTGTTTCTGTCATCCAGGCAATCCTCGAATCTCCAGAAAAGCAGCTAACACTAAACGAAATCTACAACTGGTTCACACGAATGTTTGCATATTTTAGGCGCAACGCAGCAACGTGGAAGGTAATTTTTTTTCTTTCTTTAATCCCTCCTAATGTCTTTAAACCAACACGGGAGAATAAAGAGTCATTGTGTAGATGTTAGGTGGACTTAAATGATAGTCGTGCATAATAAAATGTAAAAACAAAACTTAATCCAAATACATAACAATAGCCTACTTATTCGATTCAAATGAACCACCCTTTAAACAAACATGTGAACCAGACAGAGCAGGCCAGGGGAGGAATATATGCATTTGTGTAAAAAAAATTAAAAAAAATTTTCAAAACAGTCACCCTGTAATGTGTGTGGATATTCTGATGGTGGGTGGCATTAGTTTAACATAGCAGTGCTCTGCCAATGACTCCTGGCTGAGCCCCTCACACTCACTTCAGAAGGGAACACTCTGTTTTCCACCAGGCCGCAAGCACACGTTCACACAGACACACACAAAACAACAGAACAGTAATGACTGGAGACAGAGAACGTGAGATTTGAATGAGAAAGGCAGTGATGAAGCAATGAAAGCCTTTTCTGAGCCACAGAGCAGCTCACACACACACCACCATGCTGCTGCACTCCCGTCCCCCATCACCTTCCACACATACTGACAGCCTTTCCATAGGGGCACATTGGTGTTATAAACACTGGATTCCTCTCCGCACACACATTTAGAACATACACATGCACTCAGCATAGCTCCTGTAAAAAGGTCGACTTTCTGAATAATTTGGACTGAACCCTCGATTTATGTTCGAAAAGCCCTTTTTTTCTTTCTCACTTTGTAATGGGAAATGCCGACGCAGAATGAGCCTAACGTTTTCTCATCAGTAACAAAGTAGTGATTAAAATGTTCAGTTTCTATATTTTGTTGGTGTAATTTGTTCTGATTGATCAGAAGAGGCAGCTTTAAAAAGATAAGGGAAAAAAGGGGATGTCTTAAGAGTATCGCCATGGAAATGAGTAAATATTTATGTGCTGTTTAAGTAATTTGAAACTTCAGACCATTTACTGCCCGTAACCCTCTGCTTTATTTATTGTTTTCATTCAAGTTTCATCCAGAGCCTGTCACAATATTTCTACTATGAAATGAATTTTTTCTTCCCATGCAGCCATGTTTACTGTACTGATAGAAACCCTTTTTTTCTCTCTTTGTTTTTACATCAACTGCAGAATGCAGTCCGGCATAATCTTAGTCTTCACAAGTGTTTTGTGCGGGTAGAAAACGTAAAAGGGGCTGTGTGGACAGTGGACGAAATAGAGTTCCAAAAGAGACGGCCTCAAAAGATCAGTGGGTAGGTTTGGCCCTGTTGAGCCCTGCCTAGCGTCTGTCTCAGCGCTGACTGATGGGAAGAGTCTACTGCTGCTGCTGCTGCTCCATCTCCATTGTCTGTGTGCCATACCATCCAAAGTCCCTGCTTGCTTTGGCGTGCCTCCCCTTCATGCTTTTAGAAGCCTTTTGGTGATGCCTCATAACCCACAATGGCTTATTTTCATTTTGATCCTCACCCTCTCCCCTCCTCCCTGTGTCTGTGTGTCTGTCCGTCCGCTGTCTTTCCTGTCGATCACTGCATCTGCATCTGGCTGTCGCCTCCCTCCTCCCGCTGGTTTGCTTTCCCAGGGTGCCATTCGCACCAACCTCTCCCTGCATAAGTGCTTTGTGAGAGTAGAGGATGAGTTTGGGTCCTTTTGGACTGTTGATGATGAGGAGTTTAAGCGCGGTCGCCACATACAGCGAGGCCGCCCTCGGAAATACGCCGTTGATGAGAACTTTGACGAGCTGCTCGTACAGTAAGCACTTCCGCCTGCCCTGCAAACTCCAGTGGTCCCCGCCCCACTTGCATGCCTCCATCCCTCCCCCTCCCCCCACCTCCCCTCAATGTTGCCATCATGCTTTTTGTGTTAAGCTCGTCATCCATCATGCTTCCACAAGATCTGCCTCCATCAATCTGTTCTTCCTTCCCATGACATGCAAAGTGTTAGAGATAGTTGTGTGGTATTGTCAAGTGATTGAACGTCTTAGAACTGTAGCCTTAATATCCACATTACTACAGCAGTAAATTTGTTAAGTTCTTATACAAAGTGCATTGATTTCTTTTTATGAAATAAGATACTGTATCTGAGGAATGCATGCTAGCTGAGACACGAGTCTGTGGTTGTAATTGAATTTTTCTGTTTGCAGAAGTCCAGCCTTAGTGAAGAACATTCAGACCAGCTTGGGCTATGGTCCGACCCTCTCTGCTGCCTTCCAGGTAAAAAAGAAGTGACTTCATCTCAAGCTGCCTCGCTCAGAACTTTGAAAGGCAGGAAGGAATAAGCGTTTCACTGTGTCACATGCACATAGTCTTTGTCTTTAGGATGATGTACTCGCATAAAAGAGTGATGGGAAACTGAGAAAGTGCTGACAACTGGCTTCCGTTTCACATTTAATGCTTCGGGCTTTGCTTTTCAGGCTTCAATGGCAGAAAACAACATACCTCTATACACTACTGCTTCCATTGGAAGTCCCACCCTCAATTCCCTGGCCAACGCCATCCGTGAGGAGATGAATGGAGCAATGGACCATGGAAACAGCAACGGCAGTGACAGCAGCCCGGGACGCTCGCCCCTGCCAGCTATGTGAGTGGCACACGCGCTTTCTATCTTCACCGCAGTCTGTGTAAGAAAAGTGAAGAGAGAGGAAAATTTTTTTGGGCTGCTTATTCCACTGAGACCAAAACTCTTCAAATAGACAAAAAGTAGTGCCAGTGCCCACCCAAAAGGCTCTAAAGTGACCTAATGCATAGCAATAGATCAAACAGAAGGGATTGCCAGAGGTACAATAAATAAAGTGGAGAGGGGGATATTGGGGTGGCGTGTGGGGTCACGGCCAGTGCTGTGGCAGGCCTCCCTGCCGAAAAGGAAACTCCACCTTTTCAAAGCTTCCATCACCAGAGCGGCCGGGAAGAGAAGACCGGAGCCCCTCTGTTATTTTAACAGCGAGTTTATGAACTCTCCTTTATGCGTCCTGCTGTCTGTCTGAGCCCCGCCATCATCGGCCCTTTCACTTTGTTAAAATATTTACAAAATGCCAGCACGCAGAGTGACACAGCTGCTGGCTCCGACAGTGCAACATGAGCCGCAACACATCTAGAAACGCCTCTGAAAGAAAAACAACACAAAAAGCATAATTAGTCTGGAGGACATCATCCAAGATTCTCATGTAGGAAAGTTGTGGTCGGCCTGGAAACCGCAGCTCCCCGTTCACTTGTTGTATGGGAGTGTCTGCTAAGTTGTTTGAAGCCTAAAATAATACAGCACACGCTGCATCGTTTCCAGATGTGGGGGCAGACCACCGATGTGCAGCAGGGGTAGACTCAGGGATGGCCTCCTGAAATGTCTGAGCTTGGGGGAAATTCTGCCTAAAAACAAAAAAAGGTGCAGTAATAAGCTCCTGGCCAAATGGAGGAAAGTGCCATCCTTAATCACTGTGAACATAGCTCTGAGCATGGCTGTGGAACAGGAAAGGCAGAGACAGGATGGGTGTGCTGGCCTAAAGGCAGCCTGCTCTCCCTCTACCCCTCTGCTTCTATCTTTAGGCTGACAAAGCTCACGACTCCTTCTTCGTAATTATGTCTATAAGCTTTGTGCAAGTACAAAACGAGTTAAAACTGTGTTCTTTTGCTTTTAAAGAACTTTATTCTCTTATTAACAAAACACACCTGGCTCTTTACGTCTCTTTACGTCTGTGGATGGAGCATTTAATGCTGCGGTTAATTCAGTCCCTGGTTTTCTATACTGCTCTGACTTACCCTGTCCGAATGCGAGTCCATCACCGCTGTGTAGTAACATGTGCTGTCCACATGTGCCAGGGAGCTGCTGGTTGACAGGACACAGCTTTTTTACCACAGTGAAGAAACCAGAGCACTTCTCTTAAACAGCCAGATGAGAGTCAGGCATCCAGAGAAGGCTAATTATAAGCAAAGTGTGGAATCAGCATGCAGTTCAATGGCATAATAATAACAATTTCATGTCTGCCCCGCAGCCACAGAGTCAGACCTGAGGCAACAGCACTTGTGGAGTTACTTTGATGTGAAAATGATAGAAAAGCTGACTTTACTTTTCCCCCCTTTTTTATAATTTACACCAAAATATGTCAGCTCATTAGCATACGAGTGCTTCCATCACAATAGCTGCAAATCACACAAGACGTCCTGGTGTGAATAAATCAAATGTGGGCCGTGGTGATGAAGAATGTGCCAGTTGTCCCTTGTTGTTGTAGTAAATGAGCCCGGCGCCTCATCCTGACATCGCTCTACCTCCGCTACAGCAGCCTGGCACCGCAGGTTAGAGCGGCAAGTCCCCTGCAGCTGCTCATAATGTTTTTTTTCCCTCTCTCTCTGCCACAGCCAGGCCTCCTCTCCCCCTGTGCTTTCTTCCTGCTCTGTTTCTGTAATGAGAAATTTGGCAGATCTCATCTCTTTAGTGGCTCTTTTGCCCAGGCTGTGAGCTGGAGGGGCGGGCGCTCATGTTTTTGCCTTGTTTACAAGTGACAGCGTTATTATTCTCATAAGGGCTCTGTTTCTTATCACGGTGTTGTGCCGAGTGCGCCGGTGCCGCTCTCCCCGCACGCCTTTCCTGCCAGCGCTTTTCTTCCCTTATTGACACTTGCTTGAAAATATGCATTAATTCTGGAGTTTAAAGCATGTATGGTGGTGTCTGGTCGCTGTGTTTGCTTGAAGTTGATTAATGATAGAAGCCGGCTCGGGGTCGTCCTCTGGAGACCCGCCTCGCAGGTTGTGCATGTTAACGAGCAGGAAGAGGAACACACAGCGCGCCGCTGATCCTCCGCCACCAGGAGGCTGACAACGGCAGCCTCACTCGCTCCGCAGAGTCCATTCTCTCCTCTGCTCGTCTCACGTTGTTAATCTTCCTCATTTATCAATTCTAAGTGAATACCCTGTTGTCGGTTGCCATGAAAATAAAAAGCCTGCAGCTTTGCCGGGATTGGAATACCTCAAAAGAAAGCTGAAATTATCAACAGTGCCAGTGAGGCTCCCACTCACAGCCTCGCTGAAGCCAGACATTTGTTTTTGTTCCCCTGCCTCTTCCTTTCTAAACAGAATCGGCACAGCTCGTATCACCCTGGGCCCGATTGTGTGAAAGGTTGGAAAAGAATACGGAGGAAAGTTAAGGATAGCAGACTGTAAGTTTTTCTCCTCTTCTCCTTCTCCTCCAGGCATCACATCAGCGTTAAGGAGGAACCACTGGACCCCGAAGACCACGACGGGCCCCTCTCCCTGGTAACGACTGCCAATCACAGTCCGGATTTCGATCACCACAGAGATTACGATGACGAGCAGGGCCACGACGACATGCTGTAAGGCTAGCGCCGCCCACCTCCCTCCCCAGCCTCAGAGGCCGAGGCAGTCCGGGTCATTCGGGAGACAGAAACGCTCTGCAGATAACAAACACTGAACTGCAGTCTCAGCCACTGATGACAGCTCGCAAATGTCTCCAAGTTGACTTTTTTTTAGTGCCATTAAAATACATAGCAAGAACACATATGAGAAAACACAGATGATGCCCCCACATGAGGGCTCTTTTTTCCCTCCGATTCCTTTCTACTTTTGATTTAAGTAGCGCTTAAAACGTGAAAACAAACTTCGTTTCTACTCATCTGTCGGACAGACTGTATTTTTTTTTTTTTTGGTACGGGGGGGGTGCAACGTGTCCGTGCTATGGGATAACCCTTGCCACGCAGCCAGGACGGACTGCACTCAACGGACTGCAGAAGAGGAGGGGGGAGGTGTTTGTCTCCCTCTCCACCCTCCCCCACGCTCCCCCCCCAATTCCCTCTCTCAGACACACATCTGACCAGAAACTGAAAAGAAAGAGAGGGAGAATGACTGACGTTTAATTTACACCGTGTGTATGTGTGTACGTGCGAGAGAGAGCGCGAGTGCGGACTTCTGTTCATTGTCACTGCCTTCAACACTTCTCATTGGTTTAATCCCTTCTACGGCGGGAGGGTTGTTTTTGTGCTTTTGGTTTGTGTTTTTTTGGGGAGGGGGGGGGTTTAAAAAGTTATGAAATATAACATAATGTGTCTTCTCCATCATTCAGTGCTGTTCTAGATGTCTTTTTGTTTTTGTTATTGTTTCTTTGAACTGATCAGACCTCATGCCCATGCTGTGGAGATTCTGTGTGGTCAGCACTTAATGATGAATGTTTATCATTTCTTTAAACACACTCGCATGAAGCAGAATGTCGCATACCAACTAGTATTTTTCTGTCATTTATTCCTCAATCTTGCCACACACAAAAAAAACCACCACTCTGATGTGTAGCCCGCCCCCCACTCCACCCCACCCCAACCAGACCCCCCTCCTGCTCATGAAGTCCATTGGCAATGCACTACTCATAATGAAGGCTCTCTCCACGCATCAATGAAGTTTAATTTAAGATGCGAATGAATGACAGAGAAATCATGCAGGTTATGATTTATCCTTATGAAATTATACTTTAAAACAGCCCCCTCACGGCCGAGCATGCTGAGCTGCAACAGAATTTCTGATCACTTACAAGCTCTGGGTTTTTTAAAGCAAAATGAAAATGTCAGGTGTGCACCAGCGAGATAATGATTTAGACCAACTAATTGTGATTCCTGAACACAACTGTCATTGTTAATCAAACGTGTCTGCTTTTCCCCCCTTTTTTTCCAAGCTGTAATTTCATTCAGGGCTCGGAGATAAACGTGCATTCCCTGTAGTTTTATTTGTATCACGCGCATGACTAGTTTTAAGTTTCGAGTGTTAATAATTGCACACCGGACGAACGGCTCATTTTCTTTCATTAAGGGAACAAATCCCCAAGACCTGCAATAAGCGTTGCACATTCCAGCATTTGACAGTCATCGTAAAAGGGCCCAAACATACAGCACATACCATTTTATGCGAAGGTGGATGCTTCGACGTTCGGTGTCGCCCAACAAAAGTCTGGTGGGAATCCACGGGAAAAACTTCCAGCTTTGCTGAGAAGTTACATTTTAGACATGCTGAATTTCAAGACTGCAATCAACCACTTTTAATCTTTTTATTTATTATTAGTTTTGGTATTATTTGATGTTTATTTGGCTTTTTACTTTTGTTAATGTTGTTGTTGATTTGTATTAATATCATTCTGTGCCTACCAAAGATAAACTACAAAGTCAGTGATGTGTTTTCCATGCAATAGCAGATCAGGCCAAATATCTCTCCTCCGTTCTTTCGGTAGCGGCGGTGTAGCCGGCGGCAGATTGAATCGAAGGGGGGGGAGGAAAAAAAACGCTCCTCGCACTGGTGTTTTCATTCATTGTTATTAAAAAAACAGCAAACAAACAAAAAAACCAAAGGGGTGGAGCTGCATCGAGGTTTTGCAGTGACCAAATCTGAACGGGAGGCACCGACAGTCTGACTACACGATGACCAAACTAGGGAAACTTCTTATCTTTGGGCCAGTGAGCTGGGAAAAGGGAGCAGATGACACATGCAACATTAGAGCGTATGTAGATAAAACATATACCGGTTAAATGGGAAAAGCTTTGCAGAGAACAATGTGAAATGGATTCTGTGCTTCAACTGGACCACACAAATGATTCAGTGTTTCTCTTCTTTTATTCCTTTACCTGTGTGTATCATTTAAAATGATTGTATGCCACTTTTTTTTTTTTTTTTAGGGATTTTTGTTGAGATTGGCAAGACTTCATGATTGTGTTTAGTTTCTGTCAACTTATTACTTTTTATATTAAAAAACACTCCTGTCAACTAATAAGCTGGGTACAAGGTACTTTATGGCAGTTATTGTTATTGTTATTATAATTTTTTTTCCTCTAACTTCACCGCTCATTAGCTAAAAAGGAAAAAGGGCAATCTGTGGCTTCCAGAAAATGTATTTAATATCAAGGCAGCTGTGGGATGGGTCAGTTACATCCAGGCTCAGGACCGTGAGAACAGGGGCCGAGCTCATCCACAACCCCCCACCCCCCAGTCAACCGGCTGGTTTGTTTGGTATTCAGAAAGGAGGGAAAAGTGCCGGTCGGTTAGATCATTCTCAGCATGTGTAGCTTGACATTACTAAAGATAACAGCATGAGAAAACCGTTAGGATGCATACCTCAGTTCAAACCTATAGGGAATGATTCAATTAAATGAGAAAAAATAAACATTTCACTCAGTTGCACTTAGTTGTGTGTCTTGCATGTGTAGTCTGATACTGTAGAGAGAAAATGAACAAAAAAAAATAGAAAATGAAATTAGAGCTTGTTTATCTTAAAGGTTTCATCCTTTTTTTTTTTCTTTTTTTTTAAAGCCAAACCAATCCAAACCTCAGGCCTTTTGTTCATGGAAATGTCACTCGGCTGTGTGTGTGTGTGTGTGTGTGTGTGTGTGTGTGTGTGTGTGTGTGTGTG